ACAACCTGTCGGAAGAGATTTGACAGCTGAATATGCTGTCTGAATTCAAAACAGCATTAAAAACCAGTCTTTTCTGGCAAGCCTATCTAGATTATTTTTAAGCTGTCAATTTTAAATGATGAAGTTTAAATGTTGATTGTTTTAATATGTAGGTGTCTTGTTTATTCTTGTAAATTGATGTGTGTTTTTAACTGATGCGTATTTTTTGGTCTGTTGCTGTTCCTGGCCTTGATCCATGGGGAGAGACAGGTAGAAAATCATCATCATCATCAAGATGGCCTCTGTTAAATTATTTTGGTTTCTGGGAAAGAAATTTGCTCTTGGAGTCATTTATCTTTTGGCAATTCATAGTATCCACAGACCTCTCCTGGATCACCACATTTAAAATGCATTGATTATGTTCCTGTCAACTTTCCTCACCATCCAGCTTTCACAAGCATACATGGAAATCAGAATTACAATGACCTGGACAATCCTGACTTTGGTATTCAGTTGTATATCTGTGCACTTGGGGATCTTGTCTGATTACCTCATTGCTACTCTTCCAAGTTCAAGTTTTCTTTTAATTGTTTGACTGTCAGCCCTAGCTCATATTAAACCAGGGGTCGGCAAGATTTTCAGACCTGGGGCCGGTCGCTGATCCCCAAGTCTTCCACCGGACGGGCTGTGACACGTGCGGCGGCGGCACGGCGGCAGCGCGTGCGGTGGCGGCGGGGGTCGGCAGGGGTCATCGGCAGCGACGGGGTTCGGCGGGGTGCAACCCAGTCCATAGGTTGCAGACCCCTGTATTAAATCCTTTTCCTGTGTTAACTAAAATGATTGGGTCCAGAGACTCAGAAGTAATTCCAGTATTAGTCTCATCTAGAAAAAAACCATTGAAACCAATGGGGCTTGGGGAAATGGTCTTCTACTATTCATTTCAATAGATTGTTGTTGTGTGCCTTCAAGTCATTTCTGACTTATGGTGACTCTAAGGTGAACCTATCACAGGGTTTTCTTGGTAAGATTTCTTCAGAGGAAATTTGTCATTGCCTTTCATGAGGCTGAGAGAGTGTGACTTGCCCAGTATTACTGATGGCTGAGTGGGGATTTGACACCTGGATCTGTTCTTGTTGTGATTAAGATTAAATTTGCCCAGGATTTCATAAAATGCTGGATTTTGTTGTTGTTCTTTTTTTCAGGAAGGTATTTATAACAATAAAATAAAATTACTGGACCATACTTATCTGGGAGTAAGCACCATTAAAATTAATGTGAATGAATTTTGAGTGGAGATGCATAGTTCATGTGAAAGATTAGCTTTTCTGGCCTAACACCCTTTGTTGAAATAAGAGCCAGCGATCTTTCAATGCAAGTGAACACCAGTAATGTCAAGCTGTAAGTAAACAGCTCAGAAGAGCTGCTGGGACATAAATCTGGCCAGAAAGATTTAAAATATATAAAGACAAGATCTTAATTAGTTTGCAAGAACTTTTTCTGCTGCGCTGACTCCCTCAAGCCTCACTTGTCCCTCAATTTTTAATTGCATTGAGTGTAAAGCTTGAGTTTTATGCAAGCCCAGGGTTCATATGTGCCACATTAGCAACTTTCATCTCTGGGAAGGTATTCTTTTCCTATCTTCTTCGTGTGTCGCCACTCTTCGAAGATGTGATTTTTCTCATGTTCCATTCCGGCATTATCTGTGAGTGTTTACTACTTAACTAGCCTTTTCAGCTCACACTTGAGCTTGTTAAAGAATCGGAAAAGATGAGGGTTGTTTTTTCCCTCTCTCTCTCTCTCTCTCTCTCCATGCCACAAATTCAGATAAGGAGAAGGACGATGCTCAGTGCTTTAGAAGACATGGGGCCAAGATCCTAGATTGTGCTTATGGAGATTAAATCTACACTCTTTGTGGTTGCGCTACACCTCCCTTCTTCTAAGTACTAACATTGCACAAGCACTTGCTTATCTGCTAATTTAGCTGCCTTGGGTTTCAGCCTGGAAGAAAGGGGGACTATAAATAAAGTGATGGATGGATGCTAATGTGATATTTATTGTCCCCTTATGCAATGGATAATGCACTATGGCTATTGATGAATGCCATCCAAGGGTACAAAAGTAAACTCAGAGCCACTGTCAAGAATCTTTGAGAATTCCTAACATAATCGCTAAAAAAATTCTCTTTTGCTTTGGGTCCTATTCTCTGGAGCAGGGGTAGGCAACCTGCGGCCCGGGGGCCGGATGCGGCCCACCGAGGCCTTTGGACCGGCCCCAGGCTGGTCCTGCCGCCGCCGCCGACAACCCCTGCTGCCACAGCCGCCCGCCATGATGATATTGATTATTGTTGTTATTACTTGTTCTTGGGGTTTTCTTGGCAAAATCTCCACAGGGGTTTTGCCATCATGGCTTTTCTGGGGCTGAGAGAGCATGCATGCATATATATATATATTTTTTTAAAAAAAAATTTAAAAAATTTATTTATTTTTGCTTCGGCCCCACAATTGTCTGAGGGACAGCAACCCGGCCCCCTGCTCAAAAAGGTTGCCTATCCCTGCTCTGGAGCAACAGAAAACAAACTTGCTCCATCCTCAACGTGACATCCCTTCAAATATTTAAACAGGGCTATCATGACACTGGCCTCCTCTTCCCAGGCTAAACATACCCAGTTCCCTAAGTTGCTCCTCATAGGGCATGGTTCCCAGGCCTTTCACCATTTTGGTCTCCCTCCTCTGGGCATGTTCCAGCTTGTCCACATCCTTCTTGAATTGTGGTTCCCAGATCTAGACACAATATTTCTGGTGAGGTCTGACCAAAGCAAAGTAGAAAGCTACTATCACTTATGTGTTGTGCATCATGTATCATGTGTCATGGAGAAAGAGACATACTGGATATAACTCTACCTGTGTCCTGTCCTTTTTCTACAAGAGAGTCTCTGAAACCTTCACACATCTCTTAGCTTTCTAAGGGCTCTGACTCCAGAGCAGAACATGTCTGAACACAGCAGGTGAGTTCCAGATTTAGGAACCAAATTCAGAAACTAACATTGATCCAACTTTACATGTCTTTTGTGAGCTGCTATGGGTCCAGCATTGTGTGTTGTATGCCTTCAAGTTGTTCTTGACTTACGGCGACTGTAAAGCTAACCTATCATGGGGTTTTCTTGGCAGGATTTGCTTTTCCCTGAATCAGAGAGGATGTGACCCACCCAAGGTCACCCAATGGGTTTCATAGCCGAGCGGAAATTGAGCCCTAGCCTCCAGAGTGTAGTCAAACACTCAAACCATTATGCTAGGTTCCAAGATTCCTAGCAGGGAAATCAATCAGTCAATCAATCAATCTTGCTCACTTTTTCAGGAAAGAAAAACTTTGGTCCAAATACCCCATTAGTCTGCTCCCTACTAGCAATTATAAAGCCCAAATCTACTCCTACCTCCTAGTTTTGAAAGCACTCCAAGATCAGCTTGCTCCCTGACTATTCACATGTCAGGAACTGGTACACACTGTGTGGAAACTGGCAACGTGTCTAATTAAATCAGGACATTCAGTGGGGATGGAAGAAGCCATGCGCACATCTGTGGCTGTCACACACAGGGCTGCCACCAAAGGTCCTGACTTCACAATGGTGTTGAATGGCAGTACTTAATTTGTCGAGACGCTTACTGAAGGTGAACCAAAACAATGGAGGGTTTCTCAAGGTGCAGAAGAAGAGGAAGAGGAGAAAGCCAAAGTAGAAAGGGAGGAATCATACTGTTCTGTAGTTATTCTGGGAACCTACATGGGACTCAAAAATCCCATCATTTGGGGAAGGTGATATTTCCATCCCAGAAAGACTATTGCTATATACACGTTTGGGTTTTCTTTTTAATTAAGACAAGCCAGGCAATTAAAAGAGATCCCAATCAGCTCCTCAAAACAAAGAGCTGATAGATGAAGAAGAAAACAGATCTGCTTTAATGAGAAAATACACCTGGTGAGTATATGATGCAGAGCGGCTCAGTTAAATGTCAGAAAGGTCAGCCCAGCTTCTCATCCAAAACCCATTACGTTTCTGACCTGATAAGCCAAATATGGGTATTTTTAGTACTGCTCCCCCTCCCCTAGCTTAGAAAAGCTATGTTTCGGATAACAGAATCCCCTGGCTGGCATAGCAAGCAGCCAACCACCAAAAAGGTAACTTTTCCAAGCTCATTTTTCAGATCCTGACAAAGGAACATTGTAGAGCCAAGGCATTTCAGGAGAGCAGCAAACACACCAGTTGGTTTCATAGGTTCAAATGGGATTCCTCCAATTATTGGTGGAAAGCTTTCAACTGGATCTGATTGCTAGTTAGGTAATTATGATATGAATAGATATATTAATTAATTACTATTAATTAGTAATTAATGAGTTTATTAATGAGTACCCAACTGTTGGGGGGCAATGAGCTGACAGTTGTAAACTGCTTAGACATCCCATAGCGCAATATGAAGTGGTATATAAATGAAGCTGCTTTGCTTTTGCTATTAACTGTAAATCGATATATCCAGCCTTTACTAATCAATGTAGCCGAAGGCAGCCCACAACACAGACTGAAACAAAATCCAGCTAAAAAGAAAGAAAGAATCATTACAATAAAAGGAGTTTAAAAACAATTAAGCAAGCTGTCCTATTAAAAATGGCACTAATTTGAAACACACTAATTTGAAATGCTTTAACTGCTTGTAAAGCATAAAAATGAGAATAAATGGACAACAGCCACACCGCCGTGTACATTAAAAGATGGTTGTGCAATCGCTATTAAGGTCTTTCCTTGGTAGTGGAAGGAGAGCAGAGAGTGGGTCAGCCTTTCCTCCAATGGAAAGGTATTCCATAGCCCTGGACGGGCCTGTGATGGTATATGTATGTGATGTGTGCCTTCAAGTTGTTTTCACGGTGAAGTTTTCATGGGTTTTTTGGGGGGGATTTGTTCAGAGGAGGTTTGCCATTGCCTTTCTGTGATGCTACAAGCATGTAACATGCCCAAGGTTACCCAGAGGGTTTCATGACCAAGCTGCAAATTGAACCCTGGTCTTCAGAATCACAGTCCAACACTCAAACCACTACGCCACGTTGGCTCTCTGTGATGGTGGTGGGATGATAATAAAGTCCTTCCCCAAGGATATTAAGACTCTGGCAGGTTTATATAGGACAATCTGGTCTTACATAGTAAAACACCAATCATTCAATGACCAGTTTTGCAGAAATGCCAGTGGGTATACACATAGAAGATGAGGACAGTGTGGTGTAATGGTCTGATCATTGGATTAGGACACTGGGAGTCCGGGGTTCAAATCCCAGCTCAGACATGGAGACCCACTGAGTGACCTTGGGCAAGTTACGCTCTCTCATTCTTGGGGGAAGGCAATGGCAAGCCTCCTCTGAACAAATTTTGCCAAGAAAACCCCAAGGGGTGTACGGATAGGATTGGGATGTATTGTATTTTTAACTTGTTAGCCGCCCTGATTGATCTCAGAGGGGTGGGGTATAAATACATTATTATTATTATTATTATTATTATTATTATTATTATTATTATTATTATACAACATCTGGGATCACCATAACTCAGAAATTACTTGGATCGGCATAACTCAGAAATGACTTGAAGGCACACAACAACAGCCATATGTATGGAAGGCTACTGGGGATTCTCTTCCTCTTTCCTTCCTTCATAAGAGCTGACATTTCAGTGATCCCCTTGTCCAGGGGTAGGCAACCTAAGGCC